TCTGTGAAATCTCTCCAGAGAACACAAGACCTGGACTCAGCCAGTCCTGTTCCCGGCAGGACCAACGTGTGGGGCAAGTGATGCGAGTGTCCCCCCCACGTCTCACGTGGTTTAGGGTTCGGGTTCTGGAGGAGGCCATACACCAATGAAAGAGACTAGACAGGAAAATATATTTTTAAAATATATTTTTTTGTGTTTTTTTTTTTTTTTACAGAGAGGAAGGGAGAGGGATAGAGAGCCAGAAACATCGATGAGAGAGAATCATCAATCAGCTGCCTCCTGCACACCCCCCACCGGGGATGTGCCCGCAACCAAGGTACATGCCTTCGACAGGAATCGAACTTGGGACCCTTCAGTCTGCAGGCCGACGCTCCATCCACCAAGCCAAACCGGTTTTGGCTAGACAAGAAAATATGAATTTGGAAATTGGGGGCCAGGCGGGAGCCCAGAAGAAGACTATGCTTTGCTCTGGCCTTGCGATCCCTTTCATTCAGGCTTGGGATCCACCCATAGCTCTTAGGCAGGCGATTTCAGTAACAGCTCGATGATAGCCCAACAGCAAGGATTTACAAGGATGTACATGAGACTGAGAGGCGGAAGTTGCTTCAGCCACCATGGTCTCGACTAAACAGTTGGGCGTAAGGTTCTGACCCTTGCCAGAGCCTCAATGTTGACAAGCCTTCCAGACTCCTGTCCACCTCCTCCTGCCTGTGAAGGCGATGGGCAGCTTCCAACCAAGTGGCACAAAGAAACAGGAACATCTCATGTTGGCAAAGACAAAGACAACCTACCGATGGATGGCATATGCTGGCGCTGGTGGTGCCAGCAGGAGTGGGCAGCACGGACTGACCAGATGTCTCTGTGGTGTGACTTGGCTGCAATTCCACCCTCTGGCCTCCTGTCCATCCTTCCTGGCTCTAAGAGCTGGCTCCCCAGCTTGTTCTGAGAGCCTATGAACTGAGAGTGCCATTTCTTGCCAATTAACACTCTTATTTTTGGTCCCAAGTTAACCAGGACCTTCTCCTGCTGTTTGCAGTGAGCAACTCTGGATGGTATGATGGGGCGGGAGACGAAGGAGGCTGTGGGCAGGGAGTGGAGCCGGGCAACCTTCTCATGTCCCTCAGATGAAGGCAGACACACCTGTCAAAATCACCTTCTGAAAGGGGTGTAACAAACTCTCCCTAACCGGTCTGGCTCAGTGGATAGAGCGTTGGCCTGCAGACTGAGGGGTCCCAGGTTTGATTCCAGTCAAAGGCATGTACCTTAGTTGCGGGCACATCCCCAGTAGGGGATGTGCAGGAGGCAGCTAAACAATGTTTCTCTCTCATCAATGTTTTTAATTCTCTATCCCCCTCCCTTCCTCTCTATAAAAAAAAATCAATAAAAATATATTAAAAAAACCACAAAACTCTCCCTCAAAGTTTTGCTTTATTTTAAATGATCTTTCCCCTTCCAAGGACATGTTGTTCCGATGGGGTTTGGAGGATAAAATAGACGCAGATGTTAAATCTCAGAGACAATTGTTCATACTCCTGCACAACTGTTTTTAAAAAACAACATTCAATTCTTTGATGACTCCTCTTTGCTTTAATAAGCTAAATTACCCTGGTTAGCAGAACAAATAATAAGTTTCGATGCTGGATAAACAGAAATGCATTTAATGACTCATCTGGCTAGCTTTTTAAATGCAACGTAGGCTATACCAATAATAATAATGATGTTGAACATTTAAGGAACTAATGGCACAATAATTATTAAAAAGGTTTTTAATTTGTTTTGAGAGAGAGAGGAAGGGAGAGGGGGAGAGGAACATTGATGTGAGATCAGAACATCCACTGGCTGCCTCCTACATGCCCCCAACCATCTAAAAATATGCAACTCACAAGCAATTGGGCTGGGCACGGGGGAAGAGAAAGAAGGGCCAGAAAAGTGGAGTAAAAGGAGATGTTTCTCTCTTTGGAAATAACTGTAAATGAACATGCACTACTCAGTCAGCATCTATATGGGATGGACTGTAGAAATAATCTGATGGCGCATAATCATTTCCATAGAATCGGGCATGAGCGCAGAAGGAGAAAATGATTGTCTCAAGTTCAAACAATAAGTTTGTGGAAATGTCGGTAGCAGGAGGCAGAGGACCTGGCAGGGATGGGGAGAAAACTAACTGAGCACTTACCATTTCGTTGTCTTAGTAATTCTTAAAAAAAAAAAAAAAATTAAAGATAAAGGCGATGATGCTCAAAGACATCGAGTAACTTGGTTACGGTCTCATGGCTGCAGAGGAAGAGCTGAGAGTCCAAATCTGATTCTACCCTCCAGCTCCCAAGTCCTTGCTCTTTCTGTGTCTACATTCGTCTCCTTTCCCCACCACACTCACCGCATTCAGCGCTGCCCACAGATTCTGTGGTGCCTAAAGCCCTCTCGCTTCACTCTCATTCTATTTTTTTAAAAATATATCCCTATTGATTTCAGAGGGAAAGGGAGAGGGAGAGGGAGAGGGAGAGGGAGAGGGAGAGGGAGAGGGAGAGGGAGAGGGAGAGGGAGAGGGAGAGAAACATCACTGTTGAGAGAGAATCATTGACAGGCTGCCTTCTGCACACCCCACACTGGGGATTGAGCCCTCAACTGAGGCATGTGCCCTTGACCGGAATCAAACCTGAGACCCTTCAGTCCGCAGGCCGACGCTCTATCCACCGAGCCAAACCAGCGAGGGCCACTCTCATCCTTTTGAATTCATGTTTGCTAGGACTGACCTGTGCTATCCCAAAGGCAGAACTCTCTATCCATCCACACTTCATTTTTCCAGTCACAAGAGCATCTTCCCAACGAGAACCTGGTAAGTCGAGTATGTTCACAACATCTCACAGCAAGTGACCTTAGGTTTAAAACTGAAATGTAAGAAGGGGTAAAAAGAGCTGCTTGTCCATGACTGTCCAGCACTGAACCTACTTCGTGTTTAGGAAGGAATACACATCCCTGGGAATGTAGTCTTGTGTGAGGCCGGGTCCCAGGCCCAGGTCTGTTGGTGAGGAACAGAGTGACCTCAGGGAAGGTGCCCAGGGCGGTATCTCTTCTCAGAAACGTGAGGAAATGGAATGAAAAGATTCTTTAGGTCCTTGAAATGTATCCTATGGTCTTAAGAACATTTAAGAATTAATATCATTGCTTCACAAACATATCCACTGCGCCACCTGAGCTGTGATACAAGGCTCTCTGTGCTTCTGAAATCCTCTCCAGATCCTGAGCTGAACTGGGAGCGGTAGACTTCTCCCCCTCCCCCTCCTCCGACTTTACAAGCACAGCTTAAAATGGAGCAAAGAAATGATTGTGTGGCCGAAACCGGTTTGGCTCCGTGGATAGAGCGTTAGCCTGTGGACTGAAAGGTCCCAGGTTTGATTCCGGTCAAGGGCATGTACCTTGGTTGTGGGCACATCTCTGGTAGTGGGTGTGCAGGAGGCAGCTGATCAATGTTGCTCTCTCATAGATGTTTCTATCTCTCTCCCTTCCTCTCTGTAAAAAAATCAATAAAATATATATTTTTTTTTAAAAGAAAAGAAATGATTGTGTGGAAGTCATTCCCAAATCCTGTCCTTCATAACCTTGGCATATATTATGATAAGTGAAACAAAGCAGTCAGAGAAAGATAAATATCACATGGTCTCACTCATTTATGGAATATAACGAACAACATAAACTGATGAACAAGAATAGATCCAGAGACATAACCTTGGCATGCAGAAGGCCGTCCTCCCAGCACTGCCAAATCCCATCAGGTCCAAGTGCCCGGGCCGCACACCACAGTCTCAGGCGGTGCCATGAGTGACACTTGGTGAGTCCTGGCACCCCTGCCCCGCACACCCTGCAGGATCCTTCCGGAATGCGTCAGGTCATTTAGCCAAGACCGTCTCCACCAAATCCTGAGCCTCCTACTTCCTTGCAAAAATGGGATATTTAAAATTAGCCCTTGACTAATTTCTGTAGACAGGACTAGATTTCAGCATCGTCGCAGAGGAGCTCACGTTTGAAATGAGACCGCCTGGGGCTGAGGGAGAAAGAAAGGGAGCCAAAGCACGTGACCTTAGAAATCAAGAGCCTGGGTCCGAGGCCCAGGTCTGCTGGTGAGGAACGGAGTGACCGTAGGGAAGGTGCCCAGGCTGGTGTCTCTTCCCAGAAACGTGAGGGAACGGAATGAAAAGATTCCTCAGGTCTGCGAAATGTATCCTATGGTCTTCAGGATATTTAAGAATTAAAGGATGTTTAAAATGGGAAGGGTAGCCCGGCTGATGTGGTTCAGTGGTTGACTATTAACCTACGAACCAGGAGGTACGGTTTGACTCCGGGTCAGGGCACGTGCCCTGGTTGTGGGCTCGATCCCCAGCATGGGGCAGCCGATCAATGATCCTCTCTCATCATTGATGTTTCTCTCTCTCTCTTTCTCTCCCCCTTCCTCTCTGAAATCAATTAAAAATTTTATTTATTTATTTTATTTAAAATATATTTTATTGATTTTGTACAGAGAGGAAGGGAGAGGGATAGAGAGTTAGAAACATCGAGGAGAGAGAGTCATCGATCAGCTGCCTCTTGCACACCCCCACTGGGGATGTGCCCAGCAACCAAGGTACATGCCCTTGACCGGAATCGAACCCGGGTCCCTTCAGTCCCCAAGCCGATGCTCTATCCATTGAGCCAAACCGGTTTCGGCTATTTATTTATTTTTACTGATGCAAAATATTTATTCCAAGTTAGTTATTTTATGCAGTAGTTTCCCCCTCAAGACCTGGGATAACCACGTCTTTTAAATCTGTAAATAACATTATCAACATAATCTTAATCTTTGAAATCTCACACACACAAAAATATATATATTTAAAATAACAAAAACAAAATGGGAAAGAGTTGAAACGTCTCCCATGTAGCGAAGGAAACCTGGATCACGTATGGAAGGAAAACGGTCCCTTTCCTGCAGTCCCTATCGCCCCTTTGTCAGGAGAAAGGGTTGTTTATTTACTTTTTGTTTTGCTCCAGGTTTTTTTCAGAGCCGCTTTGACGTCCTTGTTCCTCAGGCTGTAGATTAAGGGGTTGAGCATGGGCACCACGCTGGTGTAGAACAAGGAGGACACCTTCCCCTGGCTCAGAGGCAAAAGGGAAGACGGCTTGAGGTACACGAAGGCCCCGGACCCGAAGAAGAGAGAGACCGCCGTGAGGTGGGAGCTGCAGGTGCTGAAGGCCTTGGACCTGCCCCTGGAGGACCGGATGCGGAGGATGCTGGAGAGGATGAGTGCGCACGAGACGAAGATGGTGAGGGTGGGCACCCCGATGTCGATGCCCACCACCACGTACACCACCAGCACGTTCACGCGGGTGCTGGTGCAGGAGAGCTCCAGGAGGGGGAGGATGTCGCACATGTAGTGGTCCACCAGGCTGCGGGCGCAGAAGGTCAGCCTGGCCATGCACGCGGTGTGGGCCGCGGCCCCGACCAGCCCCATGGCGTAGACGCCGGACGCGAGGAGCAGGCAGACCCGGGGGGACACGGTGGCGGCGTAGGCCAGCGGGTCACAGATGGCCACGTAGCGGTCGTAGGCCATGGCGGACAGGACAAAGGACTCCGAGACCACGAAGAAGAGGAAGAAGAAGAGCTGCGTCATGCACCCCGCGTACGAGATGGCATTCCTGTCCGAGACAAAGCCGGCCAGCATTTTGGGGGTGATGGCGGTGGAGTAGCAGAAGTCGATGAGGGACAGATGGTAGAGGAAGAAGTACATCGGGGTGTGCAGGTGGGCGCTCAGCCCGATCAGGGCCAGCAGGCCCAGGTTCCCGGCCGCCGTGACCACGTAGGAGCCCAGGAACAGGAGGAAGAGGGGCGCCTGCAGGCCCGGCTGGTGGGTCAGGCCTGCGAGGACAAACTGTCACAGAGGAATTCTCAGCCACCATCCTCCTTCAAGGCATGCTATGGGACAAAGGAGGAGCTGCTCAGAGGAACAGAGAGAGAGAGAGGGAGAGAGGGAGGGAGGGAGGGAGGAAGAAAGAGAGAGGGAGGGAGGGAGAGAGAGAGAGAGGGAGGGAGGGAGAGAGCGAGCGAGCGGGGGGGGGTAGATAGAGAGAGAGAGAGAGAGAGAGGGAGAGAGAGGGGGGAGGGGGGGGAGAGAAAGAGAGTAGGAGAGAGAGAGAGAGAAGGGGGAGGGGGGCTGCTGCCCTCCCAGTCACCTCCCCGGTCCTGAAAACTAGACCCGCTCAGACAGACACACTGAACCTCAACAGACAGGCTTTCTGGGGGCCTGGGGCCTGTTCTCCCAACATCCTGGACTCTGCCTCTGCAGGGGGGCCTGCCTCCGCAGTGAGAATCCCCAGAATGCAGGGGGGAGCCCCCAGATCTTTCCTTTGGTCCATTTATATTGTGTCCTTCCAGCTCTGGTTTCTGCCAGAGTTGGTCAACGCTGTGCTGTCTCTGCGGCGAGTCCTCTCGGGGGTCAGAGCCAGTCCCGCTGGCTGGAGCGGTCCCTCACGGCCAAGTTAGACGGCGGAAAGGAGAGGCGACCTTCCTTCAGGCCGTCGCCCCCTGAGGTGGGCGACTTCGGAAAAGTTCATCCCAGGTTGGTCACTCACCCGCCTTCAGCCTGCAGCTCAGCGGCGCACCTTCCCCTCAGCTGTTCAGACAGGTAACAAACCGGTCTCAGTGCCAACCCGGATGAAGGTACTGGGAAAGAAAAGAGCCACATGCTCACCTGACAAGCTCAGGGGAGGCCTGCGTGGCCGTCTTGCAGACTCAGAGACCTAAAATAACCACGAAAGATGGTTTGAAAATTAAATATCGAACTACAAACAGGTTATAGTGCGTAGTCATTGTCCTAGACCGATGTTTCACCTGACAAAGATCAACTTAGATCACATGTGTCAAACACAAGGCCCGAGGGCCAAATCCGTCCCGCCAGGCCTTGCAATGTGGCCAGCACCGCGCTGTCATCACTGCACTCCGCTGCGTTTCCATCACAATGACAGTTTATGACTGTTCAGTAAACCATTCGGCCCGCGATTTAGGCTGGATTTTAGATTTTGGCCCCTTCTCTGATTGAGTTCAACACCCCTAACTTAGATCTTCTTTCCTGAGCCCATCCCGCACTCCTGCCTCTAAGATAGCAAATCTGTGAGAAGTCTGGGTAACTTGTACAGTAACTTCCTTTTTACCCGGGACCCCTCAGGGCACAACCAATGGCCTCGAGACATTCCCTCATTGTTATGGTTATCAAGTTAATTGTCAACTGTTGATTACGTTAGAGTATCCTGTATCTGTCTCTGTAAGAGAAGCTCCATCATTTCACCTTGTACCCTATCCCAGAGGTTTCCCTGCTTTGCTCTGTCCCACCTCCCTAACCTACCACCATGAATTTCATGTAACTCATCTACGTCCCTTTCCTCTGATTGCAACGTATAAATAAAGAAACGTAACCCACCATTCTCCGGAGCATTATCTCAATCCGTTGAGGTTCTGCTTCCCGGCACATGTGGACAGTTTGGCTCAAATAAACTCACAAAAATTCTTTACAGGTTTCAATGGTTTAATCGTTAACAGTCCTAACAGCACCCCTTTAGCTTCTGTCCTGCTTGGGCTGACTTAGAATTCCTTCTGAGCTAAAGGAGCTAAAGAACGAGGTAGCTGTTTGAGGCTTTGCCCTGAGGCTTTTTCCAGCTTGGGGTGGAGAGGGAGGGAAGGGAGAGGGGGAAGCCGCATTCTCACCTGTGCTCAGTGCCAGCTGGGGACTGGGGACGGGAGAGAGCAGTTTTCTTCTGGGCTTAGAGATCTGGGGACCTGATTAGAAGCTGGATGCCAGAGGTTCCCCTGGGATCCCAGCCCCTGGAAACTAACTTTCAAAAGGAGGACTTTTTGCCAAGTCCCTTGGTAATACCCTGTTTCCCAGAAAATAAGACAATGTCTTATATTAATTTTTGCTCCCAAAGATGCGCTAGGTCTTATTTTCAGGGGATGTCTTATTTTTCCATGAAGAAGAATACGCTACACATTTATTGTTAAATGAAAATAAAGGAAATGTATTACCTGTATACGGTACGGTAGTACGGTAGTTGTCAACACAAACCAGACAAACTGTGAATCCTACAGTATCAAGAATTTCCTCATTTATTCAATGACAATCATGTCATCATCTTCTGGAACATCATCATAACAATTCAATTCCTGAATTTCCTGGTGAATTTCTTGTGACTCCATTTCTTTCAGAATCAGTGGACCAAATCTCTCATGTTTAGCAATAGCATTCTGAGACAGAGCCTAGGAGGGGACCTTATTTTCGGGGAGATGCCTTATATTCAGAAGGAGACCTGTAAGTAGGACTTATTTTCGGAGGATGTTTTATTTTCAGGGAAACACAGTATCTGAGCGGGGTTTTACGAACATTATTTGTTCAATGAACATCTGCTCGGTAAAATGCAAAACGCGATGCAAGAATAACCAGCTCTTGCTCGTTGCACACTTATATGCTCCCAGCATGCCTCCTGTCCTCACACTTAGATATTGACCTCAGCGTGCCGGGATCCATACCATTCTAATGTAATACTTCATTTTAACCCCTCCCCCTCAGTGCTGCTTGCCTGGTTTTTATCACTGCCATCTTAGAGGTGTAATTTAACAGATATGAAGCTAAATTCCAAATCAGGCATTCTTTTTTTCTTTTTAAAAAAATATATTTTATTGATTTTTTTACAGAGAGGAAGAGAGAGGGACAGAGAGCCAGAAACATGGATGAGAGAGAATCACCGATCAGCCGCCTCCTGCACACCCCCTGCCGGGGATGTGCCTGCAACCAATGTACATGCCCCTGACCGGAATCGAACCTGGGACCCTTCAGTCCGCAGGCTGATGCTCTATCCACTGAGCCAAACCGGTTTCGGCCAAATCAGCCCTTCTGAACAATGGCATTTAATGTCTCCCTGTGAGAAAGAATAGAATAGAACGTTGCCTTCAAGGCTCTGACATTCTCTTGGGAAAGATGAGAGAATACATAGAACTAAATATGAAAAAAAAAGTGTGAGATCTAGAAAGGGTAAAAATAAATGCTAGGTGAGTTCAAGGAGTGCACTGTCTGCACTGCGTACATTTCAGTGAATCCTAGGACTTGCCCGATCGGAAGAACCATCCCCATTCGTTAAGAACGGTTTCCCCCCAAACGGCTAAGTTTTGGGGATTCTCCTCCATGGGCCCCGCCCTCTAACCTCCCAGGACTCTCAGGGGACCCTCAGGGTGATGGACTTGTAGCTCCAGCAATGTTTGTTTCCCTGTCTTGCTTGCTTTGATCTGTTTCTAACTCCCCCTCTCCCATGGCGTATCCCTCTGTATCCCAGCCTTTTGGTCTTGGTTGAGCTCAGCACAGCTACATCACAGTTTTGGGGGCTTTGAGAAAAGAATTGCTAAGAGCTAGGTCATGCTGAGCAGGGCCAGAGGGAGGCTACTGTCAGCTGGGAGAGGAGCGCCGATAGAAGTTAGAGTTGCTCTGAAGTCATATCTTTTCTTTTTAAAAAAATATATTTTATTGATTTCACACAGAGAGGAATTGAGAGGGACAGAGAGTTAGAAACGTCGATGAGAGAGAAACACCGACCAGCTGCCTCTTGCACACCCCCCACTGGGGATGTGCCCGCAACCAAGGTACATGCCCTTGACCGGAATCGAACCCAGGACCCTTCAGTCCGCAGGCCAACGCTCTATCCACTGAGCCAAACCGATCCCAGCTTTTTTTTTTTTTTTTAATAAATCTTTATTGCTCAGATTATTACAATTGTTTCTCCTCCCCCAGCCCCCTATAGCTCCCTTCTACCCGGTTCCCTCCTCACCCTCTGCCCTTATCTTCTCCCACCCTCCTGCCATTGTCCTCATCCATAGGTGTACAATTTTATTATTTTTAAAAAATATATTTTATTGATTTTTTAGAGAGGAAGGGAGAGAGATAGAGAGCTAGAAATGTCAATGAGAGAGAAACATGGACCAGCTGCCCGCAACCAATGTACATGCCCCTGTCCGGAATTGAACCTGGAACCTTTTAGTCCGCAGACCGACGCTCTACCACTGAGCCAAACCGGTTTCGGCGATAGGGGTATGATTTTAATCCAGTCTCTTCCTGCACCCTCCACACCCCTTTTCCCCTGATAATTATCAATCCACTCCCTTTCTTTGCCCCTATTATAGTCACCAGTTTATTCTGTTCCTCAGATTTTTAATTCACTTGATTTTTAGATTCACTTGTTGATATATATGTATTTGTTGATCATAATTTTATCCCCCTTCTTCTTCTTCTTCTTCTTCTTCTTCTTCTTCTTCTTCTTCTTCTTCTTCTTCAAGTTCTGTCTTTTAGTTGTTGTTTTGAAATTGTTGTGCGAGGTGGCAGCTTAGGTGCTTACCTAGGCCGCCATCTTGGTTTCTCCTCTGAAAGTCATATCTTTTCTTCAGAACTGTATCTAAGGCCCATCTCTCCAGCATGCTTCATCCACAGTCAGGTTCATGGCCCTTGACTAGTTACCTTGTTCCTACTTCCTGTCCCACCGCCGACGCCCTATTTTTTTAAATAGCCACACTCTTCCATACCACCAAGGACAAACTACAAAGTCAGGAGAGGTTTCCTTGACTGTCTCCAAATCTCCTCTTTCTGTACCCATTTCTACTCTCAGTCAATGTTCCTCCTCCCCAAATACTCAAGAGTCCTGAACCCTGCTCTGCCTGTGATTCTCCAATAAAACCCGCTCTCAGGAAAAATATCTCACAAATTCATCAGCACAGCCTCATAAAGACTTGCCGAGGATCAGACACATTCCAGATGCTCTTCCATTCCTTAAAAAAGTGATAAAGAAGACAACATCTCTAACCCGCAAATAGATCTCTCCTGATGGAGTTTCACACTGCACCCGATTGATGAGTCAGGATGGGAGCG